GACTGAGCCGTTGTGAAAAGTGGCTTCATCTCCCACTGTACAGTGTGAATATCTTGGAGGATGGGACGTGGGAAAGACGCTGAGTGTAAACTCAGAGAATGCCAGCTTTTTAAAAGTACCCAAGGCTGGTTGAGAGGAAGGTCAGGCCCCAAATACCAGGCTCTGCCCCTGCATTTCAGAGTTCCTGCCTATAAGCAGACACACCAAGTGAGCGTTTATTTCTGACCCAAAATCAGAAGACACTAAATCCCTGCTTGTGGATCCGCTTGCAAAAGAAAAACAAACAAGCAAACAAACAAAACCTCCAGGCTCTGTGACAATAGCCTGGGCCAGGAAGTTGGCTGCCTGAAATCGGGTTGAGAATGATTCTTAGGCCCTGTTGGGCTTGACACAGGGCTGTAATGTTCTAATGATAGGCACAGGGGAAGCCTCGATTCGGCACATGCTTGCCAGGGCTGATATCTTTAGTCTACAGATCGACCACCCATTCACTTGTCTTCATTCAACACATATTAGTGAGCCCCTACTCTACTGTCAGGGAGTGGCCTGGGTACTGAAATAGCAACTCCAAAACAAAACAATGTTCAGGGCCCTTAGGCAGCTTCCATTCTAGAGGGGACAGATATATAGCTAATAACAGACACAACAAGTAAGTAAAACAGTAGGTTGGAAGGTAATGTGTGCCATGGAAATAGGAGTAGAACACTGTGAAGAGGCTCTGAAGTGCCATGCCCGCCCCGGAGCTAGTTTTGTTTGATGTAGTTAGAGCAGCCTACAAACCCTAACTGGGGGCTCATACGTAGTGAGTGGTTGAGGTGATTCAAAGGGATGTGTTGCCTTGGAGTGTGTGTGTGTGTGTTTGTGTGTGTGTGTGTGCACGCATGTGCATGCCAAGGTGTGATCCTGTGTTCCTGAGCCCAAGATGAATGACTCTGGGTCAACTGCTGTTTGGCATTAGCTGTACTTTCTCTAGCTGCCCAGACAACTAAGAGTTATTGTCCCTTTGTGGCAGCTCACACCCAAGGTCCTGGCCTTCTGGCAGCTGGTTTGGGGACGTGGGTAGTAGAGGGAGTAAAACCACAGTAATTGTCTTAGGAGCAGCCTGTAGCTTACCTTCCCCGACTCTCTAGGAAAAGGATTTGCTGAGCAAATTAGAATGAAAATACATATTCATGAGGAAATGTGCATCTGGGTCATGAATGTGTAGTTATCACAAGACAGGGATGTTATTTGTTTGGGATCAAATATTAATATGCTAATTTGAACAGTTCTTATCTCTGTGAAAGCAGGTAATGTAAGTATCTCTAGTAGGTAGTACTTTCTTGCCTAGTTCCAGTTACCATGGCAATCAGTCAGCCAGGGTGGTGCCCACCACATGCTCATCACTGCACTGTGCATTACAATCGGTCTCATCTTCCCTTGAAAACCATGCTGTACACTGTAAGATAACACACAGTGACACCTCATTTAGTCAACCTCGGTGTAGCAGGAACTCTTCCACTGAAGTGAATTATCCGGATAATAAAATTATAACCGTAAGGTATCATGATGTTAGTTGGCATAACCATGTTGGATGAAAAGCTTATAGAAGTATGTTTGTTGTGTACAACAGCCAACTCTTCGATTGGTTCACAGTTTTCTTGGAGACTCAGTATCATTTGTAATTTTTCTGGATATCACGTGGTGAGGTGTGTAATAGTATTGCCTTTTCTCTGGATAACTCTAGCTTGCTGTGATTTTCTAGTCCCTAGGGGTCTTTCCGGTTATTTCTCTATCTCTCTTATCAGAGCCAGGCAGAAGATTTTGACATCTTACTGGAGCCAGCATCCTTTGCAGTGTATTGGTTGTTTTTAATCTTTTGTGAGCTAGAAAGCCAGAGAACCAGACTTAAAAGAGAATCCAAAGCTAAACTAAGTAATTTCAGATGAAGATGCTGAGGTATGCTTCTAGAAGTCAAGTGTGTGGATGTAGTACGGTGTTAATTTTGTTGTTTGAACATGTATTTTGGAAATGGCAAGTTGCTAGACAGTGGACCTCTGCATAAGTGAAGTATTGCTCTGTGTGTGTGTGTGCGTGTGTGTGTGTGTGTGTGTGTGTGTGTGTGTGTGTGTGTTTTCCTGCTTACTCACATATACTCATAATACATGGTGGCGGGTGCATAATTCAACTAATTCAATTTCTGAAGGGCTGTCTCTAAGCACCAGGATCTAATGTGTTCTTTATGGCCCTGCTTAGGGGATGAAAGCTTCCAGGAGGCAATTTCAGCTCAGTAGGAGGAACTTGCTAATAGAGAAGTTCAGTCTTAGAATAGTAGCCGTGGGGGGCGTGAGCTATTGTCAAGTAGCAATGCGCCCGGCAGGGGCCAAACCGCTAACCACCAAGCACATGGTCAAGGGGATTTAAACATCTGTCAAGCTATTGAATTTTTCCATTTTTAAGATTTGTTCAACGTTATTGAACTACACTAAACTATGTATTTAAAGGATTGGTCAGATTTATTTTATTTTATTTGTTTATTTATTTGAGACAGAGTCTTGCTCTGTTACCCAGGCTGGGGTACAGTGGCGTGATCTCAGCTCACTGCAACCTCTGCCTCCCAGGTTCAAGTGATCCTCCTGCCTCAGCCTCCCAAGTAGCTGGTATTACAAGTGTGTGCCACCACACCTGGCTAATTTTTATAATTTCAATAGAGATAAGTTTTCACCATGTTGGCCAGGATGGCCTCTAACTTCTGACCTCAAGGGATCCACCCCGCTCAGCCTCCCAAAGTACTGAGATTACCAGTGTGAGCCACTGCACCAGGCCAACCTGATCAATTTTAAATTCCTTCTTGAGGTTGGCAAAGCTGTGTTAGCCAAATATAAATCTGCACATCCACTGTATGTATGTGGCTCAGCTGAGCACACCTCTTCCCAGGTGGGCTGGAATCACCAGTTTCTGTGATGTACTCAGCAGGCAGTCTGGTGGGCACCTCCTTTTGTCATCCCACTGAAAGCTGAGTGGAGATATGTCCCTTCTCACCTCCTCAGGTGAGATATTCACCTTAATGACTAGAAATGGGTGACATTTCCTTTGGTGTCAGCTGACAGCTGGGCAAGTCAAGAGCCCAGCTGTGTGGCCATAAATACTGACAAGCATGGCCAGGCTGCCTTCCAGAGAGTCACGTTGGAGGCTCTGGGCTACGTGGTCAGTGTTGGGAAGTGGCACCAGGGTTCCTAAGGGTTCCCACAGCCCCCCTGCCCTGGCACTTCCAGATGTCATAACACACAGCCCTGCCACCTCCATGCTGTCTATGCCTGAATTGCTGTTTGGGACTCAAACACTTAGGCCCTGTACTGACCTTTAAAAGGACTTAATAGGCCTCTTTGTAAACAGTGGCAGACAGTTCTTCAAGTGACATGTATGGCTTCACATGGCTGTGATGTGGAGTGCAGCTGGGGCTTTTTGTTTGTTTGGGTTATTTCCCCCTTTATAAACAGTGACGAGTGTCTGCCACAAAATACTCTTCTTGATGGGATAGAGAGGGGATAGAGAGGGGAGAGTGGGAGAGTCTTCCTTTCTTGCTCTATTCTCCATGGTTCTGGGATAGCCTTAGCTCTCCAAACCCTTCGAGTACCCTTGCTCTTCATGATCTGAAATCCTTGTACCAAAGAAGTGAGAGGGACTCAACAGAGACTCAAAACAACCCCACGTCACATGGTGTCAGGAAAGAAGAGCTAGCCCTATTTCCCCATGTGCTGAAGTGGGAAGAGCGGTGTGCTGTCACATTTAGGTACTAGCACCTTGTCAGAGACTTTACAGAAACAGACTCCCCTAGAGTCCACTGGGTTTGGGGTTGGGGCTGGGGGTGGGCTGGGGCCGGGGTCAGCAGGGCAGCCATTCTCAGGACAAGGGGAGGGAAGGGGCAGTAAGATATTGCCAAAGTGAGTCAAGGGGCATCTGGCTTGCCCTCCCTCTGCCTGGACTTCATCCACAGGAGTGCACTAGACTCTCTGGTCCCAAGAAGATTTTTTTTTTCAGGGAAGGGGATGCTTAATTGCAAGTCCAGATCTTTAACTTTGTCCTGGACCTTGCCAGACACCCTGTCACTTTGGAACGCAGAGATGTAGCCCCAACTTTGCAGAAAAGTCAGACTTGTACTCTTGTTAAAACTCCCGCCCCCGTTCCCCAATCTGATGGAGTATTCTCTCTTTCCTAGAGGCTTCAGGTTGAAACCGCAACCTGGTGTTGATGCTTGAGTTGAACCTATTTGATCAAGTCCTGGAAGAAAAATCAAAGGCTATTGAGGAAGAATCATGTGCAATGCTTAATGCCCCTTAGTACATCTCTAAACAAAAAGACTTATTCTTTGAAGATGGAGTCAGATGGCTCAGTGCCCTGAATGGAGGGGAAAAGGCTGTAATAAGTTAGGTAAAATCCTGGGATGAGAAGAAATCGTGTCTGCCTGGGGTGGGGAGTGGGGGCAGCATCCTTCCTGGGCAGGGCTTCCAAGGGGGCTCTCACTTATGCAGTGCCTGACGGTGCATTCCTTCCCCTCTCTGGGCTGTCACTGCTTCCTTTGCAACAAGAGAGAAACTGGATGAAGTAACTGAGTCCAGCCTGGACCCCAGAGCTTCCTAGCCGTGGAGGAACACAGTAATACTGTGTTACTGTCATACCCTAGTTGAAATCCCAAGGCTGTTTAGCATTGAAAACAAACAAATCGTTAGAGGTAAAACTCTAAAGATGACTAAAATTTCAAGTTTCTACCCCCCAAAATATATCAATATCCATGGCTCAAGCTCTGTCATCTTTTTCCTGATTAGAAGCCGGGACTGGCATTTTGACACAATCATTTGGGACAGGGATGTGGTTTGGTTAATAGGGAAAATATTTCAAAACATGACGCTGAGTAGACTAAGGGTGGGCAGGTCTTTTCTCAGTACAAAGTTTGGAAACGATGTTTACAATGTTTCAGAATAGTTATTGAAGACTGTGCCCCTTCCTCAGCAAGTCTATGGGTGATCTTTGTGGACCCTTTCCTAAAACTTTGTGGACTCTTCACTAAAACTACAGGTTGGACAAGGTTTTGAGTTTGGAACCTGCTAAGCCCGCTCATGGGAAGCTTCAAGGGACCTCCTTCGCCTCACTCAGGTAGTGATTTCTGTATGTAATGTGACCATAACGCTCCCTTTTCATCTCCGTTAATTTCCAAATTGGCTCGTTAAATCTATACATTCCAGCAACTCGGTCCAACATTCCAGGGAACCTTTCCATGGACAATCAGAGCAGGAGTTCTTTCGCCAGGGTTTGTTTAAGCAGAGGGAATGTGGGGTGGGGGGTGGGAAACAAAACTCCAGAACAAATTATCTTTATTTCTGCAAAGGGGACCTCAGATGGTAGCCTCACAGTGACCATGGCCTGTGTATTTCCTTTGCTTCATGAAGTGTCTCAGTCTGGCCTTTGGGCCTGGCCCAAGTTCACTTGCTCACATGTTTGTCAAGCTCCTACTGCAGACTAGACATTGTTAACTCCGCCAGAGTCAGTCAGCTCTGGGGTGTTCTTTTTCTGTTTCCTTTCTGTGTTGTTGTTGTTATTGGGACACAAACATGTAAGTGTGTTTGAAACTTCATAGGACAGTTGCCAGGGGAGGTGTCAGTCTTGCTGCCAGATGGGTACATAATGTACCACACATGCAAGCAAGGCACTGGGGAATTTTAGCTGGAATTAACAATCGCACGAGAACTGGAAGCAAATAAATAAATAACCCAAATGTTCAAAGGCCATTTATCAGCTCAGTTTATCTCCACTACTGACTGCTAGCTTTTTTCCTGACTTACCTTTTCCATTCCTCTGACCTTTAAAATTCTTCCCACATTTGGGATTAATCGAACTTACTCTCATGTTTCTTTATGCCCTGGCTTAACGTAAGGGCCTGCTCTTTTTCTCAGAAGTGCCTCGGTTTCTAAGAGGCAGCTCCAGGCAGTGGGAAAATGCTCTGACCTGAGAGTCGAGAAGGATGGGGTCTGATGCCTCGCTGGTCTCTGTGTTCACCACCCGTAACCTGGGGATGGGGCTGGCAGAGCACTTCCAAGCCTTGTCCAGATGTCACCTGCCTCTGTCACTATATTCAACATGCACGTCTTAAATATCCAGTGCATGCATATTGCGAGACACCTATTTGTGAGATGGTCCCTGCTTCCAGAAACCTGTTACATTAATCTCTCTTTGGGATACAGTCCATCAGATAAATGCATGTGTGTATTTAAATCAGTCTATGCTCACTGCCCTGGCACAGACATAGTCCTTCTGCATCTAATGGCATCCTGTATACAATTCATATTTAGTGAATGAATGAACGGATGGCTGGATGGATACCAAAATTATAGAGCTTCAATTCCAACTCAGAGGGAAGGCTTATTGTGTTTCATGGCGGGCAGCAGGCCCACCTGTGTGGTATCTTTGTGTGACATGGGAGTAGATACCGCTTTCTGTGAGTGGAAGCAGCCCCATGCTTGATGCATGGCGTGTCATCACCAGGAGCCTTTGGGCTGGAGTCAGAATGCACCAGTGTGCAGGGTGACCCCATTGGGTGGGATGGGATACGGGGAGAAACAGAGAGATAAAGAGCATACGCTCTGCAGCTGAATTACTTGGGTTTGTGTGCTAGCTTCACCACTTTGTATCAGTTCCTCAGTCTCCTCATCTATAAAATAGAGGAATCATAGTATCTACTTCAAAGGGTTGCTATGAAGCCTAAATGAATCAATCCTATGTAAGTGTCTAGAGCAGTGCCTGGCACATGGTAAGGACTAATTAAGTGTTAGCTCTTTTTCATGCTAGCATTATTATTAAGGGCAAAGGGGGCAAGTGTCAGGATGTGAGAGACAGAGCAAACTGTAGGACACCTCAGTTTATAGATGGGTGAAGGGGTGAGAGGAAGAGGAGCTGCAATAGGAAATATCTTGTGTGGAGGGCCGCGGTGAATGAGTTGGGTTTCTGAAGCTGTAGTTCTCTATAGTCTCAGGTCTTATATGGTGGGTGGGTTTCTATGGTGGTAGAAGCAGGAGGTCATAGGCAAAATTAGGTGGTCAGTAGCTTCCTCCTTGTTCTGGTTCTGAGCAACAAATGCCTCTGACCACCTCCCACCCCCATATACTCTTACTGAAAGGCAAGGAGGTTAGCAAACTGCACCCAGGAAACTGGCAAGATCAGGCAGGGCAGTCAGGAGCCAACTAGGTAGGCCAGGGTACAGAGATTCATCTACATGCCTAGCAGGGAGACTGAGGCAGCAGCCTAGGAAGTACAGGTTATCTAGAGTTCCTTACAGGTATAACTGAAGTTTATGGCAGCCAGACTATCTTGTCTCTCCTGGGATTGCTGAGCAGTAGACTCCTGGCCTGTCAGGCTTGGCCCAATGACCATGTGAGCACAGTCAGCAGTGACCTGTAGCCTGAAGAGGAGGGATCCTGGAGACTGAGGCCAATGAATTGGGGTGGGAGGGTTCATGAGGCCCTTAGAGTTGAAATGAGGCCAAGAAGGAGGGTTAGGGCTTGGATCACCAGAGCTGAGGTATTCCAGGCAGAGGAAGGGAATCAAGGGGAGATTCAGGTGGGCTTGGGCATGATGAAATTCAGAAATGTGAGTAAATTTATGTGCTTTGAACAAAGTGACGGCCGGTGCATATAGGGGAGAAGCCTGGAATCAGAGTAAGGAGATAAGGCCAGGATGGGGAGCTTTGAAGGCCGAGCTGGTGGTGAAGAGCCACTGGCCTTTCTTTGAGCAGACAGTTATGGTCAGAGTTGAACATTAGTATAATGGATCAGATGGTGACATGGAGTTTGTACTATTCTCCATGTCTGTACTACAGTCAACTGGATCAGTAACAGAAAGGCAGGATTTGGGAGAGGTGGTGGAAGGAGAAAGGGATTAGGGAAGGAGGTGACTAGAAGCAGTTGGAGCAGGTTCTTAATGTAATAGTTGTAATTATAGTCTGGAAAATGAAAAGGCTTAGACGAAGGTAGTAGGAACAGTGAGGAAAAGAGAGATGGGAGAAGTGTCATGAAGGAAAAAGCCCTAGAGCTTAGGGGGCGAGCTACAGAAGACATGTGGGTGGGGAGGGCAGCCTGTTTGGGAGGAGAGGCCAGCTGCAGGTCGAAAGGAATTCCACTTCCATCCCACAGGACTCAAGGTGAACACGAAGGACCTGACTGCACAGGCTGTCAGGTGGTTGGGCCCCAGGGAGTGGGGTCTGGGCTGGTGGTGAAGATGTGTGAGGCCTGTGGGCAGAGCCGAAGCCGCAGGCTTGGAAGGGTGCAGCACAGAGAGAAAGAGAAGAGACCAGTGACAGAAGCTGGGACCACAGCCATCCTTGGGGCTAAAAGAGCAGGGAGAGAAGATGTAGCAGCCTCAGGAGGCAGGGGTCACAGTGGCCAGAGGTGAGGAAGCAAAAGGAGAGTGCACCTTCCTGCTATGCCAGCCCCTGAGAGCTTCTGCAACTTCGCCCAGGCTAGCGCCTCTCTGGAATTCATCCCCCGCAACACACAGGCACATGCACACACACACACACGTCGACATGCACCACAGCTCACGACCTTATTCAAATGACAGCTCAAATGTTACCTCTCCTTGAAAACTCTCAGCACTTCGCAGCCCCAAGCACCATTTCAGTTCTTCCCTCCTCTGTAAGCCCATGGCTCCTCCCTCTCCGTAGTACCTGTCAGACTCTACTGCAGTCACCTGCTTTATTCAGGGTCTCCCCACCAGACTGTGAACTTTTCGGGTCTGATTTTTTCCTGTGGTGCCGCAGCCCTAGCTACTACTTGGTACCGTAGTGACTCCGAATGGATGTCAGCCCACTGAGAAAGTTTCCAGGCAAAAGGAGGGGAATGGGATAAATGGAGACCTTGAAAAGCCTCTGGGTGTTCAGCTACGGCCTTTGAGACTGCAGTCAGGGTGGAAGGTGGTAGGGGAGGAAGCGGGATTTGGGAAACATATCCCACACTTCCAGCTGCCAGGAATAACTCGTCTCCCAGGTGCCAGGCACCGCCTCACCACCTCGCCCATGATCGAATCTGTAGTGACCCTCACCAGCCTTTCCTTGTTACTTACATCTCTTGTCTTTAGAATCCTTTGAAGCTGTGACTTAAACTTCTCCCATAACTGGGTACATAGTAGGCCCTCGAGAAATGCTAATCTGAATGAAATGTTATACATTCGTAAAATGAGAACTGTCAAAAAAAGAGAAACTCACTCAGAGGCAGAAGGGCACTCACATTGTCTGATTTTCTGAAGTCGTGTGAATGGCGATGAGGGAGGCTGAGCCACTCACTGGAAAAAGCACTGGAGCGCTGGAGTGGGAGCCACTGGGTGGATTCAGCCCCCACGCAGCCACCAACTTCCAGGCTAGGTAAAGGAATAAAAAACTCATATTTCCTGAGTGTCTTCTGAAGCTAGGCATAAAGGTCAGAACTCATTTCATTAACCCATATAGCAACCTTGGGATAATGGCTCATGTGCTGATTCATTATCTTAATTTTATTTAAAAACACAGGGAGACTCAAAGAGGTGAAGTGACTAGCTCAAGGTCCCAGAGCAGGCAAGTTACAGGTGACCTGATTGAATGTCTTTTGCATATCACTAGGACCAATTCTGTCTTAAGTCCAGAGCCATGTTGGACATCTGATGCCTGGCCATCCCCACTGCTCCAGAGGCCTCTGTAGGTAGGAGGGGTTTCCTTTAGTCTAAGAAATGGTAGGACTGAGCTTTTAAGAAGGTATAGGGTGGGGAGCTGTGTCCAGCTGAGCCCTGTGATTTTAAGAGCAAAGAACCGTGTGACTGGAACCCACAGTATTTAGGGTCAAACTCTGTCTTGGATGCCTGGAAATATCTGACACGATGTCATGAAAGGCTGTGAAAGTGTGTCTCTCAAAGCCCCAAGGAAGAAATTAGGCTTTTGCACATTTGTATGTGTTCCATTTCTGCTGCCCTGATTTCTCTCAGAAAGCCACTGGTTCTTTCTCAAACTTGCTCCGGGCCCCTCTGTGCGTCATCTGCACTGGGACAAGTGCAGTATCTGCATGCCTGGAGCTCTTGCCCCATTTTTCTGGGCTGGTTGGGGTGGGCAGTCCTCTGTGGCATTTTTTAATTACTGTATGCACTGTCGGGAGCTAAGAAAATTAAAACAAAGCAAATACTCCCCCAAGCAAATGTTCCCTAATGGTAGCAGGGGACTGCTGAGTTGCCCCATGGATTGAACCGGAACCTGGGGCCAGAGATGCCAGCCAGGCAGAGTCCCTCTTCTGTCCCGACAGAGTACATGTATTGATCGACTTACAACCTATGCAACTTATGATCATTCGACTTTACTTACGACCACAATCGCTAGCCACGACTGCTCCGCTGTAGATTTTTGGAAACACTACAACATTTTGATGTGTATCAAGAATATCGCTACCGCCTGGGAGGCTGTGACGACAAAGTGCATGAATGGCATCTGGAAAAATTGTGTTAAGCGCTATGTTAATGATTTTGACAGATTTGACAGTGAACATGAACTTGAAACAATTCGGGAAAAAATAGTAAAACTCGCTAAAGACCTTTCTTTGGAGTGTGAAATGGAAGATGTCGAAGTGTTGCTAGACAAAGAATCGGGAGAACTTACAAATGAAGAGCTAATCGAACTGGAAGAAGAAAGAGTGGCAGAAGAAGAAAGAAGAGAAACAGAGAAAGAAGAGGAGGAGCCAGAAAGAAAGTTCACCACTAAGGGATTGTCAGACGGTTTATCTTTACTGAATAAACTTCTTATACATTTTGAAGCAATGGACCCAAACATCGAACGATTTGCAAGGATTGAACAGATGGCGCACGATGTGTTTCGTCTGTATCGTGAAATTTATGAAGAAAAAAAGAAACATACAATGCAGACAAAGCTCACCATGTTTATGAAAAAACCAACTCCGGTAACCCCAACTGCTGCCTCAGATGACAACATCAACGATCCGCAGCCAAGCACCAGCGGCCAATAAAAGGTTTCGTACATGTTTATATATTTTGATATGTTTTGCAATTGGGAAAATGTTTCCTATGGCATTTTTTACATGTGTATTTTGTATTTTTGTATGACCTGTATTTTGTAATTTTGTATGTTTTGCAAATATTAAACCAGTTGTACTGGTAATGCAGTGTTTTACTTAAACCTGACGAATGTAAAAATAAGAAACAAAATGGTGTAGAGATGATACAAATGGCATAAAATGAACAAAGAAAATTATGATATATAACAATAATAAAAGAAAATTATGATAAAATATGACTTAAAGTTTTTTTTTTTTTTTTTTTGGAGACGGCGTTTCGCTCTTGTTACCCAGGCTGGAGTGCAATGGCGCGATCTCGGCTCACCGCAACCTCCGCCTCCTGGGTTCAGGCAATTCTCCTGCCTCAGCCTCCTGAGTAGCTGGGATTACAGGCACGCGCCACCATGCCCAGCTAATGTTTTGTAGTTTTAGTAGAGACGGGGTTTCACCATGTTGACCAGGATGGTCTCAATCTCTTGACCTCGTGATCCACCCGCCTCGGCCTCCCAAAGTGCTGGGATTACAGGCGTGAGCCACCGCGCCTGGCCTGACTTAAAGATTTTTATAACATCATTTCACAGTACTGTACATATAGGCTACTCAACTTACGACCAAATCGTGTTACGACCGGTCTGTCGGAACCAGTCGTGGTCGTAAGTCGAGCACTAGCTGTATGGTTGTCCTAAAAGACAGGGCAAGAGGAGGCCCACACCTTCCTCATGAGAGCTGATAGTCAAGAGGACCCAGAAGAGAAAGAGACTGGACCTGCCCTTGTGAAGGCCTCGGTGTCCTCCAGGAGACAGGTCATGTGGGAGAGCAGTTCTGTAAGAGTGAGGGGAATTCATTTTGCTCATTTGGTGTTCAGCAAATACTGAATAAGTGAAGGAAGGGCTGGGTCACAGGAGCTCTGCGTGACCCTTCTCTCTGCACAGCATATTCCGCCCTTGAGAGACGCGCATTCTAGTGGGAGAGATAGACAGACACATGTGAGACCAGGAGTGGGTGACAGGTGCTGAGACAGAGGGGGGGTGTGCTCAAGGCCCTCAAATGTTGGGGAAGAAGTCCTGGAGAAGGAGGAACTGCCACAGGAAGAGGAGAAAGGGTGTCTTAGATACAGGGAACAGCAGTCAGCAGATGGGACTGGAGGTCTGAAGCAGCCTGCCATTCTTCTGTTTGTGGCCATTGTGGGCTTGGCTGCCCTCTGCGCCCTATCTAAAGGCCACCAGATGTCTGCCCAGGGTCTTAGTGGAGCTCAGCTGTCAGGATGGGCAGCAGAGGCTGTGTGAATTGCTAGATGAGCAGAGGAAATGGGGAGTAAGGGAGGATTCCTGGAGGATGTACCTGGGGCCTCAATGAAGAAGCAGGTTTGAACAGGTAGGAAGGAAAGCAGGATAGGAGCTCAACAGGAGCAAAGAACCAGAGGCGGGATGGGAACATGACATGGAGGCAGCCTCAGGCTGTCGGTGCCCTGCAGTGTGGCAGGTGGCGTAATGCCCGGCTCCTTCAGTTAAGGCTGTAGCTTACTTCCCCCAACTGCAGTGAAGCCACGGAGGAAGCTTTGGGTCAGAAGAAGGCTTCTGCAATAGAAGTGGCTGCTCCCTCCTCAGGGCACTGAGGGTGCTGAGAGATGCATGAGTCGGAACTCTCAGCTCCCATGGGATCAGGCAATGCCTTTGACGGTTCTATGCCTCGGTTTGACCATCTAGAAAAAAAGACACTGGAGGGGACCTCTGGCATTTTTTGATTACCTCACTTTGTGACATTGAGCAAGGCATGTCCCTTTTGGGACTTGTTGCCTAGTATATAAAGTGGGGAGAAACATGGGCCGCTGCTGTCCCCTCACTGAGAATTTGAGAGGACTGTACAGATGGTCTCTCCAGACCAAGGTCCCTGGACGAAGGTGAGGGGTCAGAGGATGCCAGGCTACCAGGGACTGCTCAGTGTGCTTCCCTGCAGCCAGGCCCCGTCTTCTCCTTTGCTGCCCCACCCTCCCTACCTTGGGTATGAGATGGCACAGCCAGCTGTGCCCCACATCTGGAGGGACTTCCTTGGGCTGCAGCAGCCTGGCCTGGAGCCTGCCCCTCTGCAAACTCACCCGCACGCCGGGCAGCAGGAGTGCAGGCGGGCCCACCTGGCAAAGGAGCTCCCTGGCCCTGGGAGGATGGCATCCAGTCTGCTCCAGGCCCAGGGTCCTGGCTCCGGCGCTCTGAGCTCACCAAGGTTTATTTATTTATCATTTGTTTGGGGCGAAATGGGATAGAATCAAATCCAGTGGGCTGTTTAAGCAGCAGTTGGTGGAAAGAAAGCCATGTCTGTTTCTCCCAGAAGAATCCCCCGTATTGTGGCCCTGGCCCCTTGGTTGGGTTTCGGCAGACAATGCCCTCCTTTCTCTGTGTGCCCGATGACTCGCCCCCGCCTGCCCGCCTGCCTGTCTGCCTCTGGTCCAGTAGGCCTGCTGCTGCCCACTTGGCTTGGCTGCTGGGGAGGAAGGGAAAGAAGACGCCTGAGGTCTCAGCCCATCAGTCCAGTCTGGCTTGCCGTGCCCCACAGGACTTCTGGGACCACCATGCCCCTGTGACCTCCGGGTCTCTGTTTGGGACATTTAGTACAGAAAAATGCGTCGAAGACCTACTGTGTCCCAGGCATTGTGCCTGCAGAAATGAAACCTTCTTCCCTACTGGAGCGAGGGCCAAGGATTCAGGTTCCAAGTGAGCCTCAGTGCCTTTGCCACCGTGCCTTTCTCACCACTGCCAGTGAAGTTTCCGTTGCATTTTTGCAGATAAAAAAATAAAGCAGACACCAAGGGGTAGAGCAACTCGCCAACCTCACACAGCAAGGTATTGGTGGCTAAAAATTTGGGGACCCATTTTCCCACCACTCTGGTAGAGGCAAAGATGAGCGCTTCAGCAGAGGCTGAGGGTGACCGAGGCAGCCTCCCTCGGTGAGCTCGGCGTTCCCTGATTGCTTGTCTGCAGCCATCTCCTCACTCCCCTTGTGACTTGGCTGAAACCATTCTTCTCATGCAGAATAGAATCCAGAACCATCCCCTGGCCCCTGTCTCCATCTCTACTTCCTGTCTGCCTCTCCAGCTTCATCATCTCCCTTGGCTTTCCCTGTTCTGTTCTGTTCTCATTCTAACTTTGCTGTTTCATCAGCTCATCAAACTCATTTCTGTCTCAGGTCTTTGTGCTTGAGCTCATCTGCCCAGAGCCTGCTTCTTCTGAAGTGTGCGTGTGGCTGGTCCTGAACAGATAAAGGGTCCATTAGATTTGCATGATCTCCTGCTGCCCATACTCCTGAACGCCTTACCTCTTTTTCCTTTCTTTACACCATTTGTCACTTCCTGAAATCCTGCACTTATTTGCCTATTTCTTATATTTTTGTCTCTCCCACTAGAATATGTGCTCCATGCCTGGCACATCCTAAGAACTTGGTAAACGTGTGTATTTTTTGAAGAATGAATAAATGAATGAATGAAATGTTGTGTCTTGATTTTCTCAGAAAAATGTATTGTTTTCTCTATAAAGTTTCTGGGACCTTGGGGACACAGATCTGAAGAACTATGGCAGACTGGGTGCGGTGGCTCACGCCTGGAATCCCAGCAGTTTGGGAGGCTGAGGTGGGTGGATCACTTGAGATGAGGAGTTCATGACTAGCCTGGCCAACATGGTGAAACCCCATCTCTACTAAAAATACAAAAATTAGCCGGGCATGGTGGTACGCGTCTGTAATCCCAGCTATTTGGTAGGCTGAGGCAGAAGAATTGCTTGAACCCAGGAGGTGGAGATTGCAGTGAGCCGAGATTGCACCCCTGCACTACAGTCTGGGTGACAGAGTGAGACTCTGTCTCAAAAAAAAAAAAAAAAAAGGAAGTACAGTCATAGAGTGGACTGAGGGGAGAGGACAACAAAATTGGGCAGGGAAGTGCCCAGGCCCCACAGGCTTCAGAGTCAAACAGCTTTGGAACCTTGGACAATTTACTTAGCTCTCTGGGCCTCAGTTTCCTTATCTGTAAAATGAGAATAATAATAATCATACCACCCTCAAAAATTGCTTTGAGTTAATATTTTAAAAGTACTTAGAATAGTGTCTGGCCCACGGCATGTTTCATAGTATCATTAATTGCAGTTACTCTTGCTATGTAGGAGCAATTTTACTATTATTAGTAATAGTATTAAAGTTATTATTTGAACTCAGTTCTGACATTTACAATCCATGTGCCCTTATGTTAGTCACATAACCTCCTTGAACCTCAGTTTTCTCACTTAAAAAATATGGTTAATGTCAGTGTATTAGTCTTATAGATTTGTCACGAGGATTTAATTTTTAAAAAAAGCTTGGCAAAGTCATGGGAGCTGGAAATGTAGGGACAGAAAGATGGGGACTCAGAGTGAGAGGGGTGATGAGAGGGCTTGGTGGGAGGGTGGGGCCACCCAGAAGAGATGATTCAGATGCAGAGTAGTGGCGAATATAAGTAACTAAGTGGAAGGGAAACATCTGGAAATTTTGAAGGAGGAATACAGAGATTAAGGAGAGAGAAAGGTCGTCTTATTCTGTCACGTAAGACGGTCTTAGAAACTTATGGAGGGGTAAGAATTTTGTATTCTTCTCAAAAAACCAAGGGCAAAGAAAAGAATTTGGGGTGCAGTCTGGGAGCTGCACTTCCTCTCCCTCATTCTCTTGAAAATGAAATTATGGTCTGGTTTTTTAAACCCAAGGGTTGGAAAGAGGTAGGGAGGTCTAGACATTCGTGGTTTAAATCTGAAGACTGTACTCGACCCACAACTCATCTCCTGTCTCCTGTCTCCGGGGACAAGAAGAGGTAAAAAGTTAACAGCCTGAGATAGGCCTGTTTGCCACCAGGTGCTCTAGACACAGCAGGTTGGCTGGGGTGACAGTTCCGGCCTATTTGGGAAGTTTAGTGTTTGACTAGATCCCTTTTACCCTTTACAAAGCCATTTTGTTTATCAGCATTTAGCTGGTCTGTCTGCTCCCCCTAAAGGACATCCTTGGCAAGCCATCACTCAGGATATGCCTTTAGGATAACAGCACCTTTGCCCCATATGCCCAAGTCCCTCTGACCCCACTATTCCAGAGCCTATTAGCAGTGTTTTATTGTCTTTGACCCCAAGATTTTACAGTCTGTGTCATCAGAATTTCAGATCTTTTGACCTCAAGATTCCAAAGCCCATGGCCCCCAAATTCCAGAATTTTTGTTGCCACAAATTTAAGAGTCCACGTCACCAAAAGTCCCAGAGCCTTTTGGGGCACTTATCTGGCTTCATTCAGATTCACGACACCTGGGCTGCTGTGTTGCTTGCCTTTCTGTCTAAGGAGTACTGGACTAGGAATCAGGTCTAGGCCTGCGGCTTCTGACAAGTTGTGTATGATCATCAGCAAGTGCTTTACCCTCTGAGCCCCAGTTTCCTCACCTATAAAATGCGTATAATAAGTGACCACCCTGTGAGCTGCAGGAGATGATGTGTTGGAAAGCAAGTGCTCTGCAGACATGAGCTCTTCCTGTGTCAGTGCATGTCAGCTCTGCTCAGCATCAGCATCATGACACTGGAAAATCCAGCTGCATGACCTCCTTGTTTTGGCTTTCATTCACTCTATGGGTCGTGTCCATCCTTTGCTGTTTACCAAGATTTTTAACTTAATCGACGCTCCAACTCCTCTAGCCGTGTCTTCTGGCCTTGCTGCTTGCCCTCTTTCCTGTACACTTTCTAGGAGCGCCCAAGTCATAATTAATTCCTCCCTTGCCTTCAGCGTCTCCATTTATGCCTCAGTTGTGGCACTCTGCAAAGCTTCTTTGTATGAGTTATATATTGTATGTGTTAATGATGCAGTTATGCTAATTACCCCCTGCTCCATCACTCCTCGGTGTTTCGTGTCTAACAGCACTCATCAACCTTGGCTGAGGCCCTTGGCCTTTCTGAATCTTAATTTCCTTGGTGTTAATGTGGGGAAAAGTAGCACGAATCTCATAAAGTTGCAGTGATTAACAGTGGCAAGAAATAAAAGATTTAAAATAGTTGGCACTTAGTAGGTGTTCATAAATATTAGTCTCTACTAATGACAAAATAAGGTGGGAAGAACATAAGCTTTGAACCAGGCTTCAAACCACAGCTCTTGCCTTTGAGAGTAATGTGACTTTAGACAGGCTACTTACCTCTTCTAAACCTAAACTTTCTCAGCCTTAAAATCCTTGAAGCTGGCATAACAGGGTTGCAACAAAGGTTTGGTAACCATGTGAGTAAAACGCATGGAAAAGACCAGGTGCTCAATAAAGATTCGGTACCTATTATTATTATTTCTCTTGACCTTCATGTGGAAAAAAAGCTAGTCTTACTTCCCTTTTTCATCACCTTGAGCTGTTGTACATAGCACGACTTAGTCTCTGAAGTAAACTGAATTAGCAAAACTAGTAACACAGATGGAAAAGACTACGAAGAGAAGTGAAACGACAAAATATAAAATTTTGAGAGGGGAGAGGAGGGGATACTTCCTCTCTCACTTCCCGACTTTAAAAGGCCAGCACTACCCTGATCCAAGAACAAGACCCAGGCTTTACAAGAGAACTATAGACCAAGACCCCCTGTGTCATGAAATGGGTGCAAAAACTCTCAATAAAATTATTAGTCAGTCAAATGTAGTGAAACATAAAAAGGGTAATACATTACTACCCAGGAATTATCCTGGGAATACAAGGCTGCTTTAATGTTAAAAAACCAATCCGTGTAATTTCCTAAATCAGCAGGCTAAATAAGAAAAACCCATATAATCATCTCATTAGTTGCAGAAAAAGCCTTCAACAAAATTCAGGATTGTTCATGATAAAAACTCTCAGTATACTAGGACTAGAAAAGGACTTTGTTTATCTGATAAAGAACATTTACAAAAAAACCTGCAAGCAACATGACAGATAATGGTGAAAATAGAATACTTTCCCCTAAATCAGAGACAAAGCAAATTACATATCTGATAAAGAACTTATCTTTAGAATATATAAAGAATGCTCAAACTAAATGAGAAGAAAATAAATACAATCTTTTTAAAATGAGCAAAAGATTTGAACACTTCTCAAAAGAAGATATATGAATGGCAAGTAAGTACCCATAATACAATGCTTAACATTTTTAGTCATTAGAAAAAAAATACAAATTGAAATTACTGTGGGGTACTACAGCACACTTATTCCAGGGGCTACAATTAAAACTGATCATAGCAAGTATTGATGAGATTAAGGAGCTATGACAAATCTCATACATTGCAGCTGGGAATGCAAAATGGTACAACCACTCTGGAAAACAGTTTTGCAGTTTTTATAAAGTTAAACATACACTTACCACAGCCAGAAATCCCACTCGTAGGGATTTAACCAAGTGAAATCAAAACCTCTGTTCACACAAAAACGTTTATAGTGGCTTTATTTGAAACTACCTCAAATTTAAACAACCCAAATATCCCTAAACTGAGGAGTTGATAAAACACACTGTGGTAAATCCAAATGACGAAATACTGCTCGGCAGTAAAAGGGAGAAAACTACTGATGCGGGCCCCACACTGATGAATCTCAAAGGCATGATGCTGAAGGAAAAGAAGTCAGACTCAAAACACTGCACACGATATGATTCACTTAGATGACATTCTGGAAAAGGAAAACCTATAGAGACAGAAAACATCATCGTCAGGGGCTGGGGAGGACAGCAGGTTACTAGATAGGGACACAGGAACTGTTTTATGTATCAATTCGAGTTGTTACATGACTGTACATGTTCATCAAACTCACAGAACTATACACCAAAAAAGGTGCACTTGTTGTATGTAAGTAATTTTTTAATAATGAAAGTAATGAAAGCTCTGAGAGCAGGTTAGTAAGGCTCTAAGGCCTGTAACACAGGCAGAGAGCATGCGAGTGTTTGTTGGACCTGGTAAAATCCTAACCTAAGCCTCTTTCCCTCAGACTAGTTTCAGGGCTACGGCTACATCCACGTCTAATCCAAGATGTACCCGCGGTCTCATCCTCTCCCTGAAACACGGCAACATTGCTTCCCCACCTTCCTGCCCTGTCACCTGTCTCCCCTGCTGCTACTGAGATCTAAAACGGAAATGTACACACAACTCCTTCTTTCACAGGCTCCCCATTTCCTGGGCTATGAAGTCTTAATCAGACCCATGGCTTACACAGCCCTCCAAGATCTGTTCCCCATCCCCCAACCTCCCCAGCCCTTCCTAAACTCCAGAATCACTGAACTACTTGTCCTGCTGCACATGTCAGACTTGTCCCCACATCAGTGCCTTTGGGGGTTCATTTTTTGCTCCAAGAATTCTAGTCCCTGTTTTTCTATCTGATGAGTGTTCTTCTCAATCTTCAAATCTCCTCTGAGATGTTCCCTACTGGGAAGTTCACCCAGGGCAGAGCTGGCTATTTCCTCCTTCGTATTCTGGAATCAGCCTACTTATCACATCTTCTACTGTGGTAGCCATGTTCGTGAGCTGCCTACATCTGCTTTCAGAGAGTCTGCTGCCAGGGAGTACAGAGAATGGGCAGACTTCCAGCTAACAGTCAAGCCTGGCCATTTCTGTCCAAACTCCTCCTGTATGGACACTTTTTGCACTGGAGTTTCATGTTGGGCAGGCTGAGACATGCTCACAGGGGCTTCAGTCTGCAGCACCTCCTACCTGGTCCTTCCTCCTTCCTCCACTTGCTTTCTTCACCATGTCTGGCCTGCACTGCGGTCAGTGTTTTCCTTACATGCTTGTGCTGCTTCTGTCCTTTGCCTTTCGTAAGCATTACTCCCAGTGAATGGCTTGCACCTCTGACTCTGTCTTGACTTCTGTTCCCTGAGGCACTTCCCATGATTATTTCATTTCTTCCCATTGGTCGTTACTTCATTCTCCCCTGGCTCTGAATTCATACGTTTATTTATTCATTCAGCAAGTATTTCTTGAGAGTTCCCAGCAGTCATAGCTCAGTGCCAAGGTTGCCCTCTTTTCATAGGACCTAGCTGGATCCTACTCCTCTGCCATTCCCCCTGCCCCCTTTCTCCACACCCCTGAGAATTTCATGTCCTGTGGCCTCTCCATTCCTGAGCTCATGCATCCTGTGTCCTGGAGAATCATCTTTTATTTTCCAGGAAGCTTCCTCCCTTAAGGCTTTGACAAGCCTCAGGTCTGGAAAGCCTCCCTTGATGGCCCCTGGCCCTGGTCATTGCTCGTGACAGTGCATAGCATATATTAGGTTGCAGAAATGATTAGTTGAGTGTCTGACTGAATCTCATATGACTATTGTCAGCGTTGATTAGAAGACATAATGTGTGTAAAGCAACAACCATGGGGCCTGGCAGGCTATAGGGTGTATGGTAAATGCTCATGGCTGAGTTCCAGTAAATTCTATTTAATGGCATATCTCATCAATTGCAGCTGATGTTTCTTTTCATTGTGTTCTGTGTGTGTGTGTGTTTTCTTTCTGGATGCATCTCATGCATAGTTGGAAGAGGGAGAGACAGTGACATTTTCTACATTGTGTTTTTGTTTTGTTTTGCCTTGCTTTTTTGAGACAGAGGTTGCAAATGTGCATGCCTCTTGGGGTGACAGCACACCAGGCTGGAATCAGGAGACTAAGTTCTAGCATGGGTGGGGGTGTCTCTGCCAGTAGCTGAATGTGTGACTGGACCTCCGTTTCCCCAACTGCATTACGGTCTAGAACCAATGAAATGAACTTGCATTTGTTTTTTGTTTGAGATTATTTGTGCTTTTTCCACCTTCTTTATCCATGAAGGCTGAAAGTGCGCAATACTGACTTGTAATAATGGCAAACAGAAGCTCAATAATCACTTTATAACTTTTATCTGTGGAGGAACAGTGGCATCTTTCACGCACATGTGAAATTTCTTGCCAAAAGTGGGAGGACACTAACGTGGATTGAACACCAGTCGTGTGCCATGTCCTTGAGTGGGGATTGTGTGTGCTTGTCCTCACTGAATCCTTATTCTTAAATTGAGGAACCAAGGCTCAGAGAGAGGAAGAAATTTTCCTGAAGGCTCAGAATAACCAAATGATTGGACTGTGAACCCACTGTTCCCCGACTTCAAAGCCTGCGCTCTTCTTTAGGAGTCAAGTACCTCTGGATTTAGGCTTTCAAAAAGGAAAAGAAACATCCAATAACAACTCTAAAATACTTCAGAATGATGAATCAGTGAATGCTTGGGTATAGCAAGTAAGAATCCTGAGCTCTCACATTGCCAGCCTGATTCAAATCCCAGCTCAGCCCCCTACCAGTCTTCCTGTGTAGAGCAGGTTTCTTAACCTCCTCTGCTTCCATTACTTCATCTATAAAATAGCTGTAATAGTAGTGCCTGCCTCCTAGGTTGTTATAAGCATCAAATGAATTAATATGCATGAAGAGTTTAAAGTCATGCCTGCCTGGAACCTGGTAAATAGGCAAAAATTATTATCATTAAGATTATTGTTGTTGCGGTAGTCATCATTATTTGATCCAAACCTGGGATCCAGGAGAGTCTTCTGTTCAGGAGGGCACTAGGTGGGTGGTGAGGGATGTCCTGAGAGTGTAATTACAGCAGCAGCCACAGCTCCTTTGAGTCATGCAGAGGAACAGCAGAGCGCCTGAGCCCTACTTGGCCTGGAGTAGTGCTTGCTGATTGCTGGAGCAGGACACTGCAAATGCATAGACACCACAGCTACGGAGCCACTGCTACCCGGATCGGCCCCTTCACCCCAACCCAGTCCCTCCCGGCCCCTCCCACTCTGGCCCTGCTCTGCTCTTAAGTGCTCTGGGCTGGTGAGCCAAGGAACTGCCATGCTTATCCTCCAAAGAGAGCAGGAGGCTTTTGCTCACCTGTAGGTGGAGAATATGACATCCTGAATGGGGTACTGGGGACTCTTGGTGTCCTTGGTGAGTCAGGGAGTCTGAGAACAAAAGAGGGAAGAAGAAGACAAAACCCAGCTCAGAGAGACTGTAATGCAATCGGATTTACTGCCAGTACCAGGAGGGAGCAAATCTGATTCATCACCCTCCTTTTCCAATAGTGTTTAGTCCTTCATTAGACAAGCGTTTGTTGAACTCCTGTGTTGCACCAGGCAAAGGTAAGCTAATAAGTATTAATATAACAATGGCATTCCAGGGACTGACATTTATTGGACACTTATAATAGTCCAGGCATTGTTCCAAGAACTTCACAAGTATTAATTCATTGAATCCTCACACTAAAAGCTGGTGGCTAAGTTCTGTGATTATTCATTTTTTGCAGATAAGGAAACTGAAGCACAAAAAGGTGAAGTTACTTGCCCAGGGTCATGCAGATAGTATGTGGCAGAGAAGGAACTCAAACCCAAGTGGCTGGGCCTCAGAGCTGCCAAGCCATCAGCTTCCAAGGAGACAGAGGCAAGTCAGCATAGCTCATCAGTACCTTCTCATGCCTTCTCTCCTTTCAGCCATGTAACAGACAACCTGAAGAGGTAGGCAAGGGGGTCACTAGCCTGGCTTATGCATGGAGAACTGAGGCCGTGAAATGATGTAGCCAGGTTCATATAGCCATGCAGTGGCCAGGTCAATTGGAAGTCAGTTCTCCCGGTTCTTAATGTAGTTCAGTTTTTGTTGAACCAGGTGCATTTGTGTAAGTGGGCACATATCTATGTGTTTGTGTGAGCAAGTATGTGTAAATGTATGTACATGTATGTCTGCGAGTGTGTGCGTACACGCGTGTTTGTGTGTATATTCATGTGTACACATGTGTATGTGTGTGCATGGGTGTGTGAGTGATTATCAGGATAGAGCTGGTGGCAGGGGAGGGTAACGAGACACAGTGTGGCTAGCGGAAGCTTGGGGACTTCTACTCTAAAGACCTTGGTGTTCATCTTGGCTCTACCACTGAGGTTTTGGGACCTTGAGTAAGTCCCCTCTCCTCTCCTTGGTCTCTCTGAGATAGGATGAGGAGTAGCCAGGGTGAGAGTCTCAGAGGTGCTGCTTTTCTCTGGCATCCTCTGGCCACAGAGAGCAGGAAGGAGGGTTAAGTCTGGGAAGGCTGCACAGAAGAAGCACAAGATGTTTTGGGATAGAGACCAGCCGGGAGTGGGTAAGTGTGGGTGGAGAGTGTCATTCACATGGCCCTACTGCTCTTCTGGGCCGGAGTCCAGGAATAGCTGTGGTGAGAACTACATTTCTAAAGTGGGTCTTAATGTTTTTCACTGCTGGAAAATATGCCATTATGGGCATTTTCCCCTCTGGATTCCTGGACTGCCATGCCCTCGAGATTCCCCCACACTGCTGCCTTTATTTCTCTCTGACTGAAGCCTAATTTGTTCCTGCATCCTGCCTCTGTGCCTGGGTTTTATTGGACTTTAGGAGATGACTCGTGTCTAGGCTGGATGGCAAGGTCCTGCCCAGGAAGCCCGCCTGGCCGATGGGGACAGAGTACTGCAGTGGGGCTCAGGACGCCAGTGAGGTCCTTCAGTTCATGAGAGGGAACATGTAGTCACATCTGCCACATCCAGAGCTCTCCAGGAGGCAGTGGTGACAGCAGGCAGGCATGTGACTTCTGCGCCAGCTTGATCATTCCTAGAGTGTGTGGACTTGGGCCATTCCTGTGTCTCTATGCCTCAGTTTTCTCAAGTATTAGATAATAATAGTCCCTGTCCATAGTACACCCCAACAAATTCCATCATTGCCGTCATCGGACATGGTGACATGTTTTTGAGATGCTCACAGTCTGATGGTAGAGACAGGTAAATACCCAGCTCCCTGTGAAGCAGGGAGGGTGATCCTGCCACATGAGACTCCTACAGGGTACTGGGTGCCAGAATCATCATCCATTCTACCTGGAGCCAGGGGACGTTTGCCAGTGCTGCATCTTGAGAAGTCAGAGTTTATAGATAAGGCAGACAAGAGGTCTAAGGGGCTTGTAAACAGCGGAGCAGATGGTGTAAGCAGAGTCCCTGTGGGAAACCGCATGGTGATCGGGGCCAGGGAGAAGCTTGATAAAGGGTGCATCAAGGATGGTGGGGGACGGAAGCCTGGGAAATTAGGTTGGGGCCAGATTGCGAAGGGCCTTCCATGACAGAGTGTTTCCTGGGGCATTGGGAGCTCTGCGAGGTTTGCTTGGATCTCAGAAGGACCACTCTGGGGGCAGTGTGGGAGGGAGGTGGACTAGAAAGGAGAGGCCAGAGGCAGGAAGGCCAGTGAGGAGGCTATGGAATAGTCCAGAAGTTACCAGAGGCCTGAGCTAGACAGAGCTTGGTACCTAGGAAGCTCTGAGTTAAGGTTTGAATGAAGGACTTGGAAAGGAGGACTCATTGTGTGACCTTGAGTAAGTCACTTATTCTCTGGAAGCTTCAGTTTTCCTGTCTGTAACAGTGACACTGAAGTAATCTTGTGGTTAATATCAGAGTTAGACTCCCAGCCCAGCTTATCATGAGCTGGGTGACTTAGGGCAAGTAACTCCGCCTCTCCAAGCTCCTGTAATGTTTATCTGTCCAGGGGATTACAGTGTCCCTGTCTTATAGGGCTGTTGAGAGGTCTAAGAGAGAGCCCCAGAAAGCACAGAGAACACAGCACCTGGCAAACAGCAGTCCTGCATAACTGTAAGCTCTCGTCAGCATTCTTCATTGCTACCTTATTTTATTCTTAGTATTACTACTGCTATCACTCAAAATCTTCTTACCATTTTATGATAAAATGTGAAGTAGAACTTCTCTAACTTAAATCACAGCATCCGTCCTGGTATCCTGGTGTGTGTGCACCAGCCTGCTCACTGAATGTCTTCTCTTCATGGTCGTGTTGGCTTTTATTGGACTTGGACTCCAAAAATTTTCAAAATCCTCTGCCTGTGCTTTCAATCCCATCTTCTGCCTCCACACCCTATTGAAAGTGGAACTTACTAATTAATGATAATTACAGAATCCTGGGGGGCATTAGGAATTTAAGGCTCCTCACCATGTGGTCTTCGTGATCCTTGTTCTCTTCCTCAGCACTGTTACACCAGGCACCTAAGCCTGGAAACCTCTTTCCTGCATGCCCCGCATCTTTCCCTAAGCTGTTTCTCCCTCCTAATTCACACCTTGTGTCTGTCTGCCTCTCTCTATCTCTGTCTCTCACTGTCTGTCTGTCTCATGCCCACTCTCTTACTTTTCCGTCTATGGGATTTGGAACCCATTAAAGTCAACCTCTTATCCTCCTCCTGCCAAGAAGCAATCTCAAATCCCTGCTTCCAGAAGAAATGAGTACCCTAGTGTTCAGCCAGGACCTTCTCTCCAGCTATGCTGCTCTTCTGTGCCTGGGTTCACCCCACATTGTCTTCACCCCACAGGTCTCAAATGTTTTGTGCTTCCTGCTATAGTTGAACTGAATCCAGTCCAACGCAGTATTTTAGACAGGGACACAGGATTCCAGTGAAAGGAAAGTGGGAGATCCCTCTGCCCCATTTCCCGGTCTTAATCCCAGAGAGGAGAATTCCTCTGAGATCCCTTCAGCTGTTAGTAAGCTAGAGTCATGGAATATGCACTATTATCAAAGCAGAGGAGAGAGATGCATTTTCCCAGTTCCCAGTGGTTCCAAAAAGATGACAGATTGGAGCAGATGCCTTCTACCACTGCTCCCTACCTCCCTGTCCACTGCTATGCTTAGCCCAGGATTTGGTATAGAAGGTACCATAGTTTTCAGAAAAACAGATGGACAGGTGAAACGGTCTGTGGACAGTCATACTCCAGAGACAGATGGAGCTGGGACAGAAATAACCAGTGGTGTTTTGACTCGTTCG